GTGTATACTGATGCAGATTGGGCTGGATCTCTAAATGACAGAAAGTCTACTAGTGGCTACTGCACCTTTATAGGAGGAAACCTAGTTACCTGGAGAAGTAAAAAGCAAAGTGTGGTGGCTAGATCCAGTGCTGAAGCTGAATATCGAGCAATGGCTCATGGAGTGGCTGAAAGTATGTGGATAAAGAATCTATATGCTACCCCCAATAAGCACTAGCCAAAATAATAAAAGCTCAATTGTTGACTGAGTACATTATGTTGTATAATGATTTCTTTAACACTTTCCTACAAAAATGTATTAATTTTTATCATTTTAATAGGGGCATCTTGATTTTTTAAGTAGGGGTATATTAGAAACCTCAACTCCCCCCCCACAAAACACACATACACACATAAAATCCCAATTTTATATCAGAACTAAAAATAAGCCAAACATAGGATTTAGCATACAATGATAACATGTTCATAAATACCTTCCAGATGACGGACCCACTTGAGTTCAATGAAATTACATGTCCATCAACCAAGCAACATATCACTGCAAAGTCAAAGTAAATATTGGTATACATTATTCAACATCCATGATATGTGTGTCTATCCACAGCCTATATATACACATGCATATAATGCAGGAGTTACAACAATATCATCTGAAAATCATAAAGAATGACTGAAGTAATCTTCAACTGAGATGTTTGTGCACCATTGCCACTGCGACAACTGACAGAAAGAGAACCAAAAACTGGAGTCCCCAACTCCTTCAGCCACATGGTACTGAATGGTAGAGCCTGCATTAAAATAATATATTACTTGGTGAAACTTTGTGAAATTGAATTCAACTATATTCTCTCCATATGGTGTTCATGGTCCCTGTTTGGGACCAAAAGTATAAGGAAACAAACAGTTCCAGCCATTGAAATAGCATCAGTTGTATGACAATTTCCCCTTAGAAATGTCTTTGGTCAATACTGTTTGAAACGGTGCATATTAAGATCATCAAAAACAATGATAGTAGTGTATTCTCTTTTGTTTGTGAAAGCTTAAGTTTCCTCCCGTACGTTGTTCACAAGTTTGGACTAATCAAAACTAAGATATTTAAGAAAGCAATGCGCCTGTTCATCTTGGTCAACTAACAACTAACTTTTTGTGATAGGAAAAAAAAAGTAAATCATCAATACATGTTTAAACCTTAAAGGTAGAGCAGGTGGATTATAGAGGAAAGCTATGTCTAGGATATATGCAGACAAAAAAGGAAAATAGAAACCTAAAAATGTCTCAAGTAAAGCAACTAAAATGACCAAGGTAGATAGTAAATGAATTTTGAAGCAACAGCACACAAGTAAACTAGGAACTACAACATAAGAAAGCATGCTAAACAAATAACATGAGACCAGAAAGATTTCATAGAGACAGTTATAGTCCTCAATTTATATGAGAATGTTAGCAGGTGACAAAACTTAAGAGTTCCACACCTTTACCGATATGGCTGTCAAACGCCCACTAGTAGAAGCCACATAAAGCATGTCACGGACCTAAGATAAGTACCAGTTGTTAATTCATGTAAACAAGTATACGAAACATCTTGTCCATTAATTGAATAATTGGAAAACAGGAACAATCCATTCTCTAAATAATTTCATAACTCCTAGTATAAAATACATATGGGAAATTATGCAATGCCTTGCATGAATTTAGTGACTAAATTCAAGCTCTGATGTTAAGGAGCTGATATCCATATGAACAGTGAAGCTAAACTGAACTCAAGTGTATAGAAGCATATCAATCATTGGGCTAAAGTACCTCCCATGCAAACATGCTACTTCAAGATTCATTAACACAAAACTGTTATGTAAACAAAAATCTAAATGCACATTAAACAACTCAATGTCTGGTCTTGAGTGGGGCTTGGGTTTTAGAAGAGGCCTCCATGAGTCAAATAAGTAATGTTTCATCTCTTCTCCAAAGTCTTGAGAGAGTGGTCTTAAAAAGGGATAGTCAAGCTGAGGGTGAGACCTGCAATCATTTATTAATCTTGTATCCCTTATCCATTTCAATTTGGGAGTGGTTTCTCTCTATGTTTGGGCATAGGTGGAACCCCCCACCTAATGTACAACATCTATTTGCCTTTAACTTTGTCTGTTGGACAAAGAAGAGGGGAGAACCCTTTGGAGGTGTACAAGGGTGGTTATGTGTTGGACAACTTGGGAAGAAAGGAATCAAAGAATCTTCTCATGAATTGAGAGAAGTAGGGGTGCCTTAGTTGAAATCATTACTATTAGAGTGATCCATTAGATGATGTCTTTGAAACTCTTCGAAGACTTTTCTGCTGGTGACTTGGTGAGGAAGTGGTTTTAAATTGCTTGCTCTTCTTCCTTTACAGTTGGGATTAGACCTTCTGGTCCCCACCTATTGGGGGTTTCATAAAACTGAATTTTGATGGAAGTGGTGAAGGAAATCCAGCTCCTTCAGGTATTGGAGGAGTATGATCACACTGCGACTGATATACCTAACCTTCAACGAGGCACCTCAAAATCTGTCAAACCATGTTTGTAGAGACTGCTCAAGCTCATAAAAAGATTTCTTGAACTTACAAACAGTTCCCTTGGGCAAGTGACTATAAAACCTAGGAGGTATATCCATGTACACTTCCACTTACAAACACTCCCAATTTTGTATTCCCCATTCCTCATTGTTTCTCTTATCAGCCTCTGCCTCCCAAACAGTTCCCTTGGGCAAGTGACTATAAAACCTAGGAGGTATATCCATGTACACTTCCACTTACAAACACTCCCAATTTTGTATTCCCCATTCCTCATTGTTTCTCTTATTGGCCTCTAGCCTCCCTATCTTTCTCTGCCTCTTCCACTTTACGCCCACTCACCATAATATCATCCTCCATGTCTTGCACTATGTCTTAGGAAGTCCTTGAACAAATCTATATAACTTCCCCCTCACTTGGATTATCTCTCTAGGGGCAATTTTGAAGATTCTTAGGAACTTCGAGCACAACTTCTGATTCTCCTCTCATCTCAACTTTTTTGGTGATTTCTATTGGTTGGTATGGCAGAGAATCATCACCAAAAGCACAAATAAAATCAACCTGCATGGAAACAAGAGGAGAACAACTGTAAGATGGACAAAAAAAGAAAAGAGTGTTAGGGAGCAATGGGTGAACCCCCATTGAGAGTTTAACCACAGTTGATTCTGATACCATTAAGACTGTTGATCTTTCTTGCAAGAGATTATCGATAACTTGAGTTTTAGTTTGGATCCTTGCTAAATCCCCCTCCTCTACAACCAATGCACATAAGCACATTGCACCGAGTAGCAATTATTCAGCCCCCCACGTACACCTTGCTGTAGCAGCTGCAAGATTTGAGAGAATCCTTTTATTGATTCAGGTCAAGATGACAACAACCCAACCAAAAACAGTAAGGTGTCTCTTGCTACTTTCGCTATGACTTACTCAAGTCATGATGCACCCAATCCACACTACCAATGCTGAAGTTCCCCTTCATCAGCCCAAATGATCCTCTGTTTCAACACCATCCACATTACCAATGCTGAATTCTCTCCATTAATCATTTTCTGAGTCATGATGCACCCAATCAACATCATTGATATTTGATATTGTCCTCCATATATTCATTTTGTTAAATCAGGGATTTGGTTTGTCTATAGAGGGCCCCTCCTTGTTCACCAAATACCCATCTGAGTGAGTCAATGACAAACATCTTTTCTACCATCAACCTAAGGGAGACAATGATGGGCGATTTTGTCTATACTCACTACTACTTCCTTCAACTTAAAGCCCCTCATGTGAGTTATATCGGTCCAACCAACTACAGAACTGTTTTGACTCTTCTTGATGATTTGAATCACAACAACAAACTACTGGCCTGGCCATTGCTGGGAATAAGTGGCATAATGATCCACATGGTTCCTTGTTTGACTAGTCTACCAGCAGGTGGCCAGTTTCCTTTTTTTTGTTGTTGCACTGCAGTATTGACATTTAAACTCTTGCATTAGATTATCAGCTGATTCCAAGACTTCTTGGTAGCATCAGGAATTGACCTTCCCTACTTTATGGTTCTTCGAGTCTTTCTCTACCATTTTTTTTAAAGCACTTCTCAAGTTTGTCCACTACATTTTGCCTTACAACTTGCAACAATAATTCTACCAATGAAGATAGCCAAATCTTGTATTTGATTCCTCCAAAAGTGAACAACCGCCTTTGGTAAGGCACCCACAAACTTTTGTTTAACTTTAACTCTTGCCCTCCACAAGTTTCTAAACCAGAGGTCTCTTCTGCCACCTCAATAAAGCTCCCATAGCACTCCTATTTCTCTAAATACATCTAATCTCAAATATTAAACTAGAAAACTCTTTTTGATAAATAACTTAAATTTTATTAACAGACTTAATATAACATCTTTACAAGCATCCCTTAGAGAGGCACGAGCTGCTACCTCTTATACAAAAAAGAAAAAGAAAGATTACAATTGTGCCCTGAATAAAAAAGGTCTATTCACCCCTTGCTTATCCAAAGCATCTGCCATCCCGTTTATTGATCTACTCACCCATCGTATCCTCAAATTCATGTTCCTGGTTAGTCATGTAAATTTTTTCATTCCACTCCTGTAGCACCAAATTATAGACTCTGGATTCTTTATCCATTCTACTACCACTTTCGAATCCCCTTCAATCACCACATTTGTCATGTTTAACTCACTAACGATCTGCACTCCATGAATTGCAGCAAGCAGTTCCGCTTTGAGGGAGTCACCCATGCCGGCAGGGCCAGAAAAGAGAAATAAATTTCTATACACTCTAACTGCCCTGGTTTATGGGTCATGTTTCATATCGGACTCCAGCAAGCAACCAAGATGGAGCCCCACTAAGATTGCACTGCCTGAGCTTCCATCCCTTCAATTACTATTAACAGAGAGGTGGGGCTTTCATAGGCAAGAAAGTTCTTAAAAGTAGCACCCTCAAAGTTTGGCAATTTCATTGACATAAAACCCTACACCCCATTTCAATTCTTTATCTCCTTCGTAGTTACCACAATAGTATTGCTGTAGTCCAAAATATGTGTATGGTTTTACCTTTCCAAACTATTTTTGATTCCCATTTGTGACCTCTTTTTGTTCTCATTTTTTCAATATGAAAGTCCAGCAACATCTGTGCAAAGCTAAGCCACCCTAAAGACATAATACCTTCCAGTATACAAACCCTTTGGTCCTCTGGTGCAAAGCATTCAATGACGTCAATGAACCTCCCTTGCCTGTTTTCCTTCCCAAATGGCATGCTCCATCAACAAAGTCTTTCGTCCAAGATATTGAGCACTCATCTGCTAACACAGTACCTTTACCTATTGCCCTTATTTTCAGACCTGCTTCCGGTATACAAACCCTTTGGTCATCCAGTGCGAAGCATTCAATGACCTCAATGAACCTCCCCTGCCTGTCTTCCTCCCTAAATGACATGCTCCATCCACAAAATCTTTCATCCAAGATATTGGGCACTAAACTGCTAACACAGTACCTTTACCTATTGCCCTTCTTTTCAGACCTGCTCTTCTACCTTCCCTTACCACTGGTCCCTGCATCCCCCACCTAGTGCTCTCCAAGTTTCTCCCAACATGTTGCCTAATATTCCCATGATGTCGTTCATTTGCATGGCTGCCAAAATGAAATAAATGCTGAAATTGACATATTATGTTGTTTCAAAAGAAGAACGACTGAGAAGAAAGACAAATGATTTAAGAGCTAATCAAGAAAAAAACATAAAACATTGGATATGCAAATAAAAGTTATCATCCTTCTACACATGGAAGCAAATTTATGGAAAACTAAATGTCTAGAGGAACATAATTAACAAATACCTTTCAGTTTAACTTTTCAAAACATACCATATCAATGGAAGGTGACCCAAATACACTCCCACCACATGAGATCTTAAAAATGCAGCAGTGATTTTTGTAATCCAGAGCATAAATATTATGATCATGAGATCCACACCTGTATATATCACAAAGAATAAAGTTAGCTAACAAAAATCAAAGTAGCCCTAGGGTTCAATGCAAAAAACCTAAGTGTTGACTTTCGCCAAGAAAGCTATAAATAAAACTTCTCCACACTTCGCATCTTTTTGTGACTTGTCCAGACAAAACAATGAAATTAAATCCCAATTAGAAAGCTATGAAGGTACACAAGAAAGCCTTCAAATAAAAAAGGAAGAAAAAATCAGCTAAAGAAGTCATCCAAGAAAAGTTTCCAGTAAAGAGTAGTGGATGTGAAAGAAAGCCCTCAATAAGCTTGTATTCACTTCTAAAACTAGGAAAATGGTTCAAGAACATGTGCTATTTTATCTATTTTCTACTTGTTGAGGTTTTAGACAAATCGTGTAGTCTATAGTGGTAGTTTTTGATTATTTATTGTTTAGAAAGGACGTGGGGACCATAATTTGAGCACTCTTGTTGGTCTTTGTACTCTTTATTATTTTAGACTATAAATAATAGTGAAGAGGGCAGCCAACATAATTGCTCTCTTTTCTCTCTCAAATCTCTTCTCTTCCTTTTCTCCTTTCTTCTCTTCTTCTTCAAGAAATATTCTTTTCTTTTTCAGATTTTTTTATTTCAGCACCTTTCTACTTGGTATTAAAGCTCGGATAGGGTTTTTTGAAGTTTTTCCATGCAGTCCTAGATCAGCCGATTGCATGAGGAGATAAAGAGCTTATCAATTTACTTCAGATTGCCCAGTTCTTGGATTTTTTGGTGTGATCTAGTCATCAAGAGGGTGATCTATGTTTTGGCATCAAAACCAAGAAGAACTAGAGTGCAGAGAAGAGTCCTAGTCAAGTTGGACTCTTCAATTTTGATCTGATCTTGGGCACTCAGGTATTGTTGGACTTCTCTAGGTATTCTATAGGGGGCAGTTAGGTTTAAATTTTCTAGGCCTTCTGGAGTGGCCGGTTCACTTTTCTCTCCGGTGGGAGATAATGGGAGGAGAGAGATTTCTCTCCAAATAGGGTTTTCTTCTTCCGGAAAGGTCTATTACCTTTGTGTATGAGATTGATTTGATCTTGGAGGCTCTCTACCTAATTATTTTCTTCTTTTGAACTATTTGAAGTAAAATGGAGAGTTGGAGTACCGAGCAGAAGTTCACCGATAACATAGGTCTGGGTGTTGGAGGTAGTAGTGATATTTTTGGGTATGGAATTATTACTACAATGAAGTTTGATGGTACAAATTATCTAGAATGGGCACAATCAACCAAGATGGCTATTGGTTCTCATGGGAAATTGAGGCACATTACTAGGGAGGAGAAGAAACATGATACAAATCCCTCTCGGTGGGTGCAAGAGAATTACATGGTAATGACCTAGCTGTGTAACTCTATGTTACCTCACATTGGTAAAATTTTTTTGTAGGCTAATACTGCAAAGGAGATTTGGGATGGAGTGACTAAAACCTATTCCCAGAAACAAAATGTAGCTAGAGCCTATCAGTTAAGGAGATAAACCTCTTGCCACCTATTTCTCCATGCTGAAAACTCTTTGGCAGGAGATCGACCACTTAGAAACTGTGATTTGGAAGAGTATGAAGGATGCAACAACTTATCAAGGGTTGGTAGAAAAGAATAGGGCTTTTGAATTCTTGGCTGGGCTGGACCATGAATTCGGCATTGCCAAGCAACATCTCCTTCCTAGAGAAAGTGTGGCTCTTCTCAAGCTTATGCCTTTGTCTCTAGGGAGGAGAGCGGGAGGAATGTTATGTTGACACGGCCTAGGATTGATCAATCAGCTATTGTTAGTACAGTTAAATCTAAGCCAAATGGAGACAGGGGGAGTAGTGAGGCTAGGAAGGAGGACAAGAAGGACTTGGTGTGTGACTATTGCAAGAAGACTAAGCATACCAGAGACAACTTTTGGAAGCTTTACACTCATCTCGTACAAGCTCGGATCAAGAACAAGAAGGGAAATGCAAATGTGGCAATTACAGAAGACCCTTCAGGACCCCTCTCCCAGGATGATCTGGAGTCCATTGCAACAACAATAGTGAGGATTGAATTGGAAAAGTATGGACAACTTATGAGTAAGAAGGATTCGGCCAGTTCTAGCTCTTCAAATGGGCATAACAGCGTAGGAGCCAACCATACAACTTCCTTTGCTCATACAGCATATGCAGTTGCAAATCATGTATCCACCTCAGGTAAGGAGGGACCTCCTTGGATTATAGACTCAAGAGCATCTGAGTATATGACCAATATATCTACCCTGTTTAGTTCTTACCAGTTGTGCTCTAGTAGAGATAGAGTCTCTATAGCAAATGGTTCCCATATTCCCATTGTTGGGAAAGGGATAGTTAGTGTGACTAGTGACATTACTTTTCCTCCGTCTTACATGTCCCTAAACTCCACACTTATCCTCTTTCAGTAAGCTCTGATAAAAAATTTGAACTGCTCAGTGACCTTTCTTCCTGGTAATTGTGTTTTGTAGGATCTAGAATCAAAGAGGACGACTGGAAGTGGTTGTGAAGTGAATGGAGTCTACCTTTTCGATGAGATTCCGAGATATTAGAGCCATCATGTTTAGTAGCAGTAGTAGTAGTGGATCAGAGTTAGTGAGTTAGATTATGCTCTAGCATAATCGTTTGGGCCATCTTTCTTTCATTTCATTGAGGCTTTTGTTTCCAAAGTTGTTTAAGTTTATTCAGTTGTCTAGTTTGGAATGTGAAAGTTGTCAGTTGGGAAAGCATTGTAGACATTCTTTTAAACCAAGTAATAAAAGAAGTTCATTTGCTTTTGATATTGTTCATACTGATGTATAGAGTCCTTACCACATTTCTTCCATGGGTGGTTACCGTTATTTTATCTTGTTTGTGGATGATCATACACGGTATTCTTGGATATATCTGATAAGATCACATGATGAAGTACCCATTTTGGTGCAACAATTCATCAGAGTAGTTGTGCATACACACTACAACATAATGGGGTAGCAGAGAGGAAGAATAAACATATTGTGGAGGTGGTAAGGAGCCTTATGGTGTGTGTCTCAGTTCCTATTCATTTTTGGGGGGATGTAGTTCTCACAGTCGTGTATCTGATTAACTGTGTTCCTTCACACACTTTAGGGTTTAAGGCACCTTTTAGCTTGCTTTTTCCAGAAGGGGAGATATTTCATATACCTTTGAGAGTTTTTGGGTGTGCCTCATTTGTTCACATTCTTGGTCCTCATCGCAAGAAATTGGATCCTAAGGCCAAGAAATGTGTTTTCCTTGGGTGTCCTCAAAACCAAAAGGGGTATTGTTGTTATGATCCAGTGTTGGGGAGTAGGTTTGTCACTACGAATGTTACCTTTTTTGAGTCTACTTTCTTTTTCTTGAGTGGTTCTTAGGGGAAGTGTTTTGGGGAGGAGAACTCACAACCTGTCCCTCTTCCGGTGTCATTTGTTCCTTCATCTGATCCACCTATTCCACCATCAGCAACTACAATTCCACTGCCTGATCCACTACGGCCAGCCTCACAGGTCTACTAGCGTCACCAGAAGAGGGTTGACTCCACACATGCTCAGATAAAAGAACCTACACCACTCTCCGTCAGTCCATCTAAGATCCCAGGTTCAGCTGATACAGTTCCAGGTATTTCCCTTGAGCCTGAGCCTGTTATTTCCCCTGATAACGATGTTTTTGTACCTAACACTGTTGTTGTAGCTGATCCCATTGATCTTTATCTTCCTGTTGCACTCTACAAAGGTAAGGGAAAGTATACAACCCATTGCATTTCAAACCATCTCTCTTATAGTGCCTTATCATCCTCCTACCGTGCTTTCCTTTCTTCCTTGGATTCTATGTCTATACCTAGGAATGTTAGTGAGGCTCTCTCCAAACCTGAGTGGAAACTAGCTATGCAAGAAGAAATGGAAGCCTGGGTTAAAAATCAGACATGGGAAATAATTGATCTTCCTACAGACAAAGAAACAGTTGGATGTAGATGGGTGTTCACTGTGAAGTACAGGGCTGATGGCAGCATAGAGAGGTACAAGGCAATGTTGGTTGTAAAAGGGTATACACAGACCTATGGTATTGATTACCTAGAGACTTTTGCACCAGTTGCTAAGATGAGCTCAGTTTGGATTCTCTTGTCCCTATTACCTATTCATGGTCTCTATTCTAGCTTGATGTTAAAAATGCTTTCCTTAATGGTGACCTGTGTTAGTGGTGTTAGTGAAGGGGTATTTCGGTCTTTGTACTTGTTGAGAATGTTGATGTGCACTGTTATGTTAGTTCGAGTGCCTCTTACTTAAAGAAGGGCACTTAAGTCTTTTCCAATAAGTTAATAATATAATAACAGGTCTGGCCGAATCTAGGGATATCTTTTTCTCTAATTCGAACCAGCCCTTCTCTCTTTTCTTT